TTTACTATTTCTCAAGTCCGGCGAAAGATTCAGCGACTCAGAAATTATTTCGATGAATTTACTGCTTTCCTGATGATTCCAGGCGTCCTCTTGTGTCGTGATGCAGGCTTTGCTAGGTTAACCACATGTACTGTGTGTATGTGGGGGAGAAGGTAAACTGCAACTGGTTTTTTATTTTAGTTTGTTCAAGCATGCATTTTTTGTGACACGACCATAATAACCTAAAAAGATTTAAATTTATTACACAGGAGACCGACACTCAGACATTTTTCTGTTCAGAAGGATTCCCTTGGTATGGTGAGTGTTACGAGGTTTTTACCGAGCGCAACGCAGCGGCGATAGACTTGGAAGTCATCGATCTCGACCCTTAGAATCCACTGGACATGTAATCAAAAGTTGTTTGACTTATTTTGTTGGACTGACTGCAGTAATAACAAATGTTTTTTTTTCTTCTGTCAAGTACGTGTTTGTTTAATCATGATTCATATGTCAAAACAAAACAATATGTTGCATGGACAATTAAACTATTAATGTCCGTGAACAGAGTTTTCCCAGCAAAATCAGTGACAATATTCGAAGGGAAAAAATATTATTGAAAGGAAATTCGCAAAACTGTGAACAAAGTGCGATGATCGCATTGTTCTCGCATAACGTAATGAAAAAAAATAAATAAAAGTAATTTATATTTTTTAATCGCATATCCAGGCCAGATCAACCGCATCATCATTTAGGATATGTGGAAAACTGTCGCGTAATTAGATTATCGCATATCCAAACTGCATCATTTATGAGTATGCGACTATGCGACATATGTTCGCATAATTTACGATTCGCATATCCAAATCTATAAGGCTTAGATAACTATCGCTTATGCGTTATGCTTTCGCATAGTTACGAACCGCATATCCATATAAAACTCGCATAAATGTATCAATATGCGAACACATTTCGAATAGTGTTACGCACCGCTTTTTTTATCACCTAATAGTTTTTTTTTTATTTATTAATTTTGTCAAAGAACAAGAATTTTCAAAAAATTATTATTTACCAACTCTCCAAAAATATACGACGTTTGTATGTCGCAATTTTGTACGTCGCAGAATAGAAAATTTACAAAAATAAACATAAAAAAATATATGTTAGTCGTTATTGTAATAGTGTTATGCGGAATTGTTTCGAGTAATAATTGCAGGTTCATTGACCTAATAGTAGTAGTCTTCAATTTATTAATAATTTAGTCACATACCAAAAACTTTTCAAAAACTTTTAATTATTTACCAACTCGGGCACTAATATGCGACGTTCGTATGTCACAATTTCGTACGTCGCCGAATAGAAAATTTACAAAAACATAAAAAATTAAATTTTATTCGTTATAGTACGAGTGTTATGAGGTTTTTATGCGGAATTGTTTCGAAGTAATAATTGCAGGTTCATTCATCTAATAGTATTCTTCAATTTATATTTAATTCACAGACAAAGAAATTTCTAAAAAATAAATATTATAATTAATTATGCGCCAATTCTGCGAATGATATGCGACGTAGTCTTAATTTATATTTAATTCACAGACAAAGAACATTCCAAAAAATAAATATTGTAATTAATTATGCACCAATTCTGCGAATGATATGCGACATAGTCTTAAATTTATATTTATTTCACAGACAGAACTTTTCAAAAAACAAATATTATATTTAATTATACACCAATTCTGCGAATGATATGCGACATAGTCTTAAATTTATATTTAATTCACATACAAAGAACTTTTCAAAAAATAAATAAATATTATAATTAATTATGCAACAATTCTGCGAATGATATGCGACGTAGTCTTAAATTTATATTTAATTCACAGACAAAGAACTTTCCAAAAAATAAATATTATAATTAATTATGTACCAATTCTGCGAATAATATGCGACGTATGTATGTCGCAATTTTACATCGACTCAACTACTTTACATCGAAAAAACTTTTATAATATAAATTATGCACCAATTAGGCGAATGCTATGCGACGTATGCATGTCGCAATTTTACATCGACTCAACTACTTTACATCAACTCAACTACTACTTTACCCCGTGCTACGTTCAGTAACAAGTTTCA